AACCACACTTATTGCTCTGCTTCACTCATCAAGAATCAACATGTGATTGCTGCCATCTTGCTGCTAACAGCTTTATGAGGGCCTCTTCCAGACCCTCCAAGCTCACCAACCACTGTGGCACTTCCCTCTCAGGTCCCAGTACATCGAACCCGCAGCACCTACCTCCTCCCACCACCGCACTTACAGGCAGCAGCAGCTCATGCATAAGAGAAAAGCCAATGTGGCAGTTAAATAGCATTTTGTCTCAGCAGCCCAAACGCTCTCCAAAGACGTGCTATGCTGTGCCAGTGAAAAAAAAAGAAAAACATGGCAAAAGCACATTGCCCAGGACCACATGAGAGAGATCTGCTTCTGATTTTGACAAAGTGCTGGTGGCATTTCTGTGATAGTTCCTAACTACTGTTTTTGCACGAAAACCTGTTTGTTGGGATGACTTCATACAGTAGTTACCCCAAAGCTGTCTTCTACCCTACAAGTCACAGAATAAATGTGTGGCTAATGAGTGAAGTAATTAATACAAATGTGAGTAAATGGCCAAACCTGTGGTCAGGCTGAAAAATCCCCTTCACAAGCTGCAAATATACTTTTAAAATACATATTTGGTTTTCCTTAACCCTTAACAGGTTAGATTTTATCCTTAAAGTTAGTGCTTACCTGAACATACTTTGGTGATCCTCTGATTCTAATGTCATAGACACCGAGTAAAGAAATGCCTGCTTTGAGTCCAGAAGCACAACAGTAGCAAAGCCTGCGCATTCTAGGACCCAGATGAGAATTTTGCATAATATTCAGGTAGGAAAACAAATCTGCATATTTAATACTGAAGTGAAAGGGAATCTGTCAACACTAGTATAAAGAAGCACTGGATTAAATCAAATACATTTGCAACTCTTGTGACAGAAAATGTAGATTTAGAGGCTACTCAAACCGCAACCAGACAGTTGCGTTATTAGAAAATGGGATTTTTTAACTCTGGTTTAATTTCATGATAAGCTTCTGGACTCTGCTTTGCGTTTGGGCAATGGTGTGATCTGCTGCAGAACCTCTAAGGTTCTCATCATCGAAGTGCATACACCCATATAACCACACAGGCATTCAGTAGTAAAGAGCTTTGGAAAGGTAAATACGTTACGGTGCATGGATGACACGACTAGTCGTTTGAAAGAAACTACAGAACAGAGAATGGCAACCAAGAGCCGCTATTAGAGGGTCTGTGTATCTATTGCTGTATCCAGGGTAAATACTATCTCAGCCCTGTAAAACCTCTGGCTGCATCCACAGTCCTACCCAAACACAGCTGGGCTGGTGAGGTAACTCGGGGCCTTCTCCTGAGGTGGTTTCTCCCCATCAGGGTAAAGGCACCTACAAGAAAGAAGCTTCAATTGCTCCAGATCCTGCTGTAGCTACTTTGATCTCAGAGAGAACATGATAAGGATTGCTTCCAAACACTGCTCAATTCCAGTCAAACCACTTAAATAAAACCATCTCATGTATATATTTAAGAAGAAAAAGAATTTAAGTGTGAGGTACTGCTGAAACAGAATTATTGCTGATTTCTACCAGTAAGAGAGAAGAACCAAATATGATGCATTCAGACACCCCAGGTTGTTTTGGTTTTGTTTTTTTTTTGATTTATACCACCTTGAGTCTTCCTTACACCAGTTTAAATTTTGATAAGCGCCAAAGATCTACCTTAAGAGGAGCTTGTTGGCAGGTACGTATTTCTGATGGCAGAATATCTTCCTCAAACAATTATGTCTTATCACAACACTCACTTAAAATTTTACATTGAACTGTATCATGGGGCCCTTTTAAAATCCTCTCATTAATGATGATTATGTAAGTACCATTAGATGTGAGACATTCCCATATTGCTCGTAGGAGTTATGATTTAATTCTATTACAGTCTACTCCACCGTTTGTGTAATCACTCCTGACACTTTACCTTTTGTTTTGTAGAAGATTATTGTCTGCCACAGGAAGAAAAAAAAAAAAACCACAGACCATATTTTGTTTGTCATTGCAATCTGATTGAAAAGATGTTATTAATTAAATGTTGTACACAGTTATACCTGAAAACCCTCTGACAGCTCTTGGGAGAAGATGTATTACTGGAAGACAGTTGTTATTTAGGTCTCTGAGGCGATACAAAGACACTAATAAATCTTCCACACATTGCTTTGCACTAGGCAGATATTATACAGCATTTGTAGGGAATAGTTTGGATTTTCTTCGGCCTTTAATAGTGACTAGTGTGGCCGAGTGTGGTCCATGACTCTAGGAGCCACTATAAAAGAATACTTGCACTTGCTTTGTCTCAGTAGGCGAATTTGCAAATGAACAGGGAGCAGAACTGAGAAGTTGCTTCCTTGGAAAGACACAATACACCATTTCAGTTTAGTACCTAGGCTGAGCTTTTTGCCAAGAGGAGGAGGCAAAGACATTTCACCAGAGCTGGAATTTTCAGTTTCTGTTTCTCACTCATTTATTTTTTGTCATCAGAAATTTTACATGCAGAGAACATATTCCTTTACAGTATAAACAAGTAGAAACAGTTATAAAATTCCAGCTGCCTATAGTGAGAGTTTTGACCAAGTTCCTAAATTAGCAGCAAGTTTCCGTTCACAGAAGTTATATTGGTAGCCCTCCTCACATCAATACTATTGTTCTTGTCTTCTGAGCAGAAAGAATGTCCATCTCACAAACAAAGAGGAGATTTTTCAGAAATTATTATAATAAACTTAATTATTTTATTTTCAGCATTTTCACTGTAGTGCCCATAAGTTTATAGGGAATAGGGATTTCACCAAGAAGGAGGTTTTGAAAGTTCTTACCTTGGTCACAGAGGAACACAGAGAATTCAGTTTTCCTCCTCAATGTGCTCTTTGAGCTGGGGCTGTGGCTTCTGAGTACTATGAAGGTAAATGTGATGTGCCTAGTGATCAAATTGCTTCACAAGGAAAAGTTCATCACAGTCAGGGTAACTGCTTAAAATGCAACATAAACAAACAGGTCTGTGTCAATATTTTGACTGTGTAAACAATTCAAGCTGTATCACTGGAGATAATGACACATAATGCTGTATAAAATGCTCTGAAAGGGTTTTACTGAATTAATCTGCATTTAGGTTCTGGAAGAAAATTGGTCTGTGCAGTGGAAAAATGTGAACTTCTTTGCTCCTGTTGAATATGATCCTAACAAGGTGTGGACATCCTGGGAAAGGGCTTCACTACTGCAAGGTAAATGGGAAAAGAATGGATTTCAGTCCCTGCGCTGTCTTTAATTCCATTCACAGACTTTTCAGGAATTGGTGTGTATGACAGACTGGAATATACAATTTCATCCGAGTAAGCATAAACAAAGCATTTCTTACAACTGTGACGCTACCTCTCCGGGCAAACACTGTTCCTCCTTTTAGCAACACCACGAGTTCAAGTCTGGAAAGGACAGTGACTAGTGTTTTAAAACTCTGCTAATAAAACTAAGGGAAAGCAATCTGTACATAGGAGTTTATTTAGATGCCCACAAGTTTTAAATCATTCCCCTTTATATCTCAGCCCACTGGATATCTCATCCAACTGAATTACCATTGGGTTTTACAATGTGATATACAAAATGAGCTGACATTATGATTTACAAACATCCTTTGAGTATCATATAAAACACAACTGTTTCCCTTATCATACAATCATTAGGGCAATGCAAATATAATCAATACATTAGTAGCTGAAAACAATGGGGCATTTTAAGAAAATAAATTCAACTTTACCACACAAACTTGTTAGATAAAACAAGTCCTGTTTAGAAAATGAGAATAAAGTTGCGTGAATGATTGCAAGTAATTTTTATATTGTTTTGCCACTGTCCCCTTTTAAGAAACATAATAGTACTTCGTTTAAAAGACAACTAATTTTTTCACTGTAGAGTCACACTTCATTCTTATTAATTGGTTTCACATTTTCTGCATGAAACGATGAAAAACTCACAAATGTAGACTTTCCGAACTGTAGCCACTATACTTATTTCTGCACTCTTTTCCATATACTCAGTGTGTTTAGTTAAATAAACAAAAAGCAAAAAACACTACACCGATGAGCAGAACAAAACACAACAGCACGTTAAAAAGGTGATGTTTAAGCTGTAGATGTCATCATCACAGAAATATATTTTTGTTCTAATGCCACAAACTTTCTAGCCTCATGAAAAAAATAGACATTAACTGAAGTGAATCTAAACTCTAACCTCGATATAGGCTAAGAGTTTTAACTGGTATTTCCGTCTAAACTTAGGTACTAAACAACACTGTATGCACGGTAAATTTAAAGCTAATTTTTTTTAATGTTATAAAACATGAAAAGAGAAAGTCTGTTTCTGAGTTGTTAATTGGGCAACGAAAGTTACCAAGTGTTAAGGTCTCCTGTCCCATGTGTCGCTGGTACAGGTGCTTCTGCACTTTGTCATTATGGTGGCAGTAACTGAGAATGGCAGACATCATTATTACTGTAAATACAAAAAAGGAAAAATTCTGAATTCATCAATGATGTGACAACTGAAAACAAATTCTAACCTAGTCAATTTAAATTATATCATCTTAAGGCTCTCTGACTGTTTTATCACTGCACAACCCAGAGGGATTATACCCTTTTCCAGCACTTGCAGCTTCTCTTGCAAAACAGAATACTGATAATGACCGGTGATTCTTTCCCAAATATGTGTTGGATTGCCAGTGGAATGTGGTTTTAGTTCCATTTCTCCCTATAGGAGCCTTGCTGCTGCTCCGCATGTTTGGAGAAGAAAGTGCTTTTTTTACCATTTCCTTAAGTTCATGGCATTTAATTTTATAAATTTTTAAGACAGACTTATTTTGATTACTTCCATTCTGTCCAATCAAATATACCTTTGGATGTTTTAAAACATTGGACAGCTATGAAATATAAGTACTATGCAATTTGACTGTACATACATACATATTTTCATAAATACATCTGACAGGGACCTTGGAACTAAGTATGTGATATCATGGGAAAAAATCACAACAGGCTGTCTTATTTGTAAAATCTAGATTCAAAGTAAGAAGAGCTGAATTCTATCATGTTGTCAATACACAAATTAAACCAAAAATACATCATTCGTTTACCCATGAAATAATTTAAACATATTTGCAAATGTCTTGACAGGAAAAGTGTGTAATTTACAACACTGAAAACTTTTAACAACCATTGACTTATATGCGCTGTACTGTAAGTCACCCAGACAAGGCTAGCAAGGATGAGCATAGTGATAGGTCCCAAAGGCAACTCCCAAACATCTTCCTCATGCGGAGACTTTGGTAATTGTCTGTTGTACAAAACGCCAATGCATACGACTTCATTTCAGGTGTTAACGTCATCAGTTTTCCTCCCTCGGCACAGTCCAGTCTGACTATGTCAGTTATTGTTGAGACACTCTAAATCCACCGAGCAGCAGACGTTCCCATTCTGCACAGACAAACAAGCAGGTGTCAATCACCTCCGCAGAACAAAGCACAAAGAACAAAGGGGTTGGTGGCACACAGAGATGGATGCATCTCTGACACATCTACCGCATATAAAAATCTGCTTAAACCATCATCCCAAGGTGTCCTCACCGCTCCCAACTGCGGTGGCTTTTTGAGGAGGCCGACGTTGCCAAATAGCACTCAGCTGGCCTGAACTACTGGATGTGACAGACTCAGTGGCCCCCACAATAAAATACAGCACAGCAATGGCAACAAAGATGATTGGATTTATTTTCTCTCGTGCAAGAAAGTTAATGGAGAAAGTTCTGATCTGATCCACACAGAGAAGCTTTCTGTTTGTCTGAAATAATCATGTAATTTAGATTCTTGTTTCATGGCAGATATGCATGGGGAGGTGGGGGAACATATGGCTTTGGAGTTAAAACCATTGTTAAATATCTTTCTGCAACATCCAGTCATTTACAAAACTACCTTATGTATTAAAAATACAGCAACCACCAAACCTTCAAATGAGCAATTTTTTTCCTTTTTTTAATCCAATACAATCCAATAGGAATACCTCTGAAGAATGGCAGAAAAGCTACCTTCAATAATTTAAAGCCCTGGAGCAACAGCTTGGTTTCCCACAGTGAAGAGAACATTTTATATAACCCAAACCAACATTTTCATAACTCTGATATTAGTGAGGCAGGGTCATCACTGCACGGAGCAGGGGAGACAGACTGCACTTCTGCATTAGAGCCATTGGATCAAATACGTCTTGATGAGATCAAGGAACAGAAACTGTCATGTTCCCTTTCCACTTGTGTTGTGGGAGTGCCTTCACCTCTAAGCTGCAATGTGTTTCTGCTTGTGGACTTGCTGGTGAAACTTTTATTAGTGGTTTTGGCTCTGCTTACTAGCTCTATAAAACACATTTTCATGAACGTCCACACTAGGTAATTATTAAAATATTAGCCTAGATTCATACTGAGAATGCCTGAAGGGTGCTCTGACAGAACGTCTGAAAGTTGCACTGAAAGCTACATGTCTGCGCTCAACATTTTCAACAAGCACAGAATTGTTTTGTTTCCACCCTGCAAAATGCAAAAGGTGTGGGTTTTCTGTAGGCTCCTGCCCTCGGGTCTCATTTACTTCCCCGAGATCTGAATGCGAGCTTCCAAGGGCAGAAAGCGACTGATTTTCTGCAGCAACGTACATTTCCATTACCATTCTACCTTGCCCATCCTACCTTGCATTTGCAGGTTGTACAAGGAGATCCCACCATTGTCCATACAGCACCGCTAAGTCTTGTGATTCCATAGCCATCTAGACAGGTTTTCCTGATGTCGTAGGTGATGTTGTCAGCGAGACAGGGGTCATTGACACAGTGAGGACAGCACTCTCCTTCCGAGATGGCTGTGTACTCGCAGTTTAGATTTGGGCACAGAAGAGGCCAGCAATCCACCTCTCCTTCCTGTAAAAATTGAAGCAAAGCTCATTGAATTGGTTGCCATTTATTAGCAACCAAGAAGCTTCGCATCCTGTTGCATGGAAAAGTTTTATTCTGCCAAAATTGAAATAAACTTAATGGATCAGCTCTCAGTTTGGTTGATAATATAAACGCACGTTTGAATACTGAGCCGAAGTTTTCCAAACGTAGTAGATTATCATTTGGTTGTTTTTTGACTAAACAACAACACTGTCATCATCGCACCAGGATAACTTGAGCTCTTTGGGGTTTTTAAAGGCATCATTAAATACTGAGTTCCAATATTTTCCATAAACTATAATTTTTGCAGTGATCGCCTTGCAGACTCATGCCCTCTTTCTATGACTGGTCACATAAACATATCTGTGGGGTCACAGCAGCTGTTTAAATAGAAAATTAGCACTGTGGATAGATGTAGGTTAGTATGTTCGAGAAGCACTGAATATCGGTCTAACTAGCAACTGCCAAAATTGATTTTACTGTCAACTCCTAAAGGAATTGTTAGAGCAACAGCAGTTATGTTCCACTGAGTAATTTTATTTTTTTTTTTTATTTAGCTTTGTAAAAAAAACAGTTTAGTAGATAGAAATATGGAAAAGAGAGAATCATTAGGACACTTCTGTAGAGTATTGCCATGTGTGTCTAAACTTAACCTGCGAAGGGCTCCTACAACTTGCATTATGCTACTCTGTATGCTACTTCAGATGTTGATAATGCACAGAACCTTACACATAGCACTGATTTAGTGCATCACTGTCTTTTAGCTCTGTATGTTTGTTAACCCAGTCATAAAATTAGGCAAAGAACCGCTGACCACAAACTCAGTATCCCTTGTGAAATTTGTCACATCTAATATTTGCCATCGCTGCTGGCTGCAAACGTTTCTTGCTGTTCTTTCGCAAACGTTAAAATAAAATATCTTAGGAGAATACAAAATACGATACTTACTGCTGCACATTATAGATAATTATCTCTTAACGGTAACTTAGCTTTGAATGTAATTTGTTTCTGATGCTCAGACACCTCTTGATTAATATCATATATAAAGACAATATTACACAGACAGCTATAAATAGACAACTGATAATTTTAATGAAGTTCATTGCTGCACTAATTAGCATATCTGTGCAAAAATTAAAGCTTTAGGGAAATAATGTACAGTGTCTAATGAGAAATATTCTTTATTTTGCATGTTTGTCTAGTAATTTCAGTTTTCTTTATCATTCTTCATTTGGTTAATTTTTGCTAATTCACCATGTGGTGTTGGCTCTCCATTTTTACAGCATTTTCTGAATTAAAAAGAAAAAATATTGTATTATCCCTTTTGATGAGACAGGTACACCAGCTGATGTAATTAAAAGCTGAAACTCTAACTAAATCCATCACACGTGAAAAATTTTTTGAGAGTCATCAAAAGATCAGACGACCTTACAAAAATTCTCAAAAGTCGACTAATGATAAGTTAATATAGGGTCAAGGTTTTCAAGCTTTGTCAAGCTTTTCATTTTGTTCATTAGACCTACTTATTCAGTACTAAAAGGAAAACTGATGGTGTAGCTTTCAGTTCTCTGGTGCTCTGTAAGTGCTTTATCATCATTCCCAGTCTGAAAAGCAGGCGAAGAGAGAGACAACAACCTGCTTCCAGGTATGCTTTGCTAAAAATCATAATCATTATTCTCGCTTCGTTCTCAAACTCTTTACCCATACCAGGCAACGGCACTGCTGACAGCTGTAGGTCCAGTTGTCCCCACTGCGGTAGAGCTTGTGCCCAGTTTGGTCGAGGCACTGGCTGGTGACACGGGTGTCACACTCTGGGCAGCAAAAGAGATCAGCGTTGGGGTTCTCGCAGTCGCAGGCTGTCCTCCGGCAGAAAATCCTCCCGTCCTGCAAGGAGACATTGCCCTGCCGTCAACCACAAACTGCCAGGCAGCAACCCAGATAAGGCCACAGGGTGTGTGTACAGATAGATAGATAGATAGATAGATAGATAGATATGTAAAAGGTATATATACATATAGATATCTTAAAGGGCATATCTTTGACATATGAGGAAATATTAAGTTCTTAATGTAGTTGATGTTATCACCACCAAGGACTGGATCCTGACAGCTGTGGGTAAGTAATACCTCAAATACCAGTACCATCCCAATTTCTATCAATGAATGGATCCAATACTGTCTGAATCTGAGAATACTGTTTTCTTGTCTCCAGCTAATTGAATTTAAAAGAAATCAATATCTCAGAAGAAATACAGTGAAGCAATTTCATATCTCATTGGTTACATCAACGAACTCTTTAAGCAGTTGCCACTCTAATACATACAATATTTGTTTAGCACTATTTTGACTGACTGTATCACTGTGAAGAAAATAACTGGAATAAATAAATTGAAGTTATGAAGGTTGTCCCTTTAACTTCATAGGAGCACAATATAGCAAAATCACAGTGGCATTATTCACCACTGGTTCTGTTCCACATCTGGACCTACAGTACAGCAGTTTAAAGCTAAATGGACTTATCATCATCCATTATAATTCTGTGCATGTTTTAAAGAGGGCCTGTATTCCACAGGCTCTCCAAAATATTATTTCGTTAAATATTTGCTTACGGTATTGGATGGCCCACTTTGTTAAAGACCATTAAACAGAACTGTTTGAGATAAACAGAATTGCTTCTGCATGTAAAGAGAAAAGGATATATCCTCTTCGCATCAGAGAAAAACAAATTGATTCTAATTCCAGTTATGAAAATTAGAGGGAATATAGTGCTTGAAATTATACCCCTTTCTGTAGGTGAGCCAACATGCTGATATGCCACATGTAGACTGAGAACTGATATCATAGTTAGCAATGGGATGATTATTGAAAAGTTTTGACATGAACTTCTTTTGCATTGACCGCTAGCTATTGGATTAGTCTTTATTCAAGCTAAGTGTCACATGCAGCCAATTTGAAGGTAGAGCTGTGAGAGGAACAAAGCTATATTCTGCTTTGGATCACAACTGTACAATTCCTAAAACAACTCTACACATTTCATTGCAGTTTTTCCATATTCTCATCAGAACTTTGTTCAGAGTCTAAAAACCTGTATCTGATGTAAGGAGGAAAAGTCTTTCTCATTGCCATCAAATAAAGGGATACCTATTAAAGGAAGGGATTTTATTTCCTCTTGATCCTTTTAAAAAGTGATTACTAAAAAGAGTCACAGAAGCCCAGGACGTGTCTGCCACAGGCAGATGAAATAGCCATAACCACAGCATGGAGCACAGGAGGTTGTTTTGTTTGTGTTTTGACATAGGAATCTGTGTTTGGCTCTTGTTTTTAAGCAAAGCCAGTCTTGGCCACAACGCAACATGTACAAAAGCAGCACCAGAGAATCACAAAACCCCTGTCAGTCAGTGTCACTGATGCATTTCATCACAGTTTTGAATTTATTAGAATATCACTTTCTGTTGTAAGAATAATTAAAATGACTTCTTATGCCTTACAAGGAAAGTCGAAGAGAACACAAAATTATGGAAAAGTAGAACACATGCTAAGTTATCATGGATCTGAACTGCTTTTGCCACCCACAGGGCACAGGACTAGGTTTCTCTATGGTCTTTATTCAGTTTTGTATCAAATTAAGGTAACTAAGGATTCTCTGCTTGTAGCTAGTTTGCTGCTTTAGCTGTGGAAGAAGGAATAAACAAGCTTTATTTCCTTACTTAGCAGTTTGAGTAAATCATAAGGCAAGGAGACTGGCAGTGGCCACGGGTCTCACCAGGTCCCAGTGCTGAGAATAAACCCTTTCCACAAAACAAACAAACACACACCAAAGAAAGAAGTCATCCTCTCCTTTCAGCAAGTGGTGAAAGAAGAAAGCCGAAAGCCTTCCCTGACAGAGACTTATGACTAAATCTCAGTTCTTGCAGGTGGGAAAGCACAACCATCTTTGACCCCTTGCTGAGGGCAGACCTCAAGCAGCAGCTCAGCACAGAAGCTCTGCCAGGCTGACTAGCTCCAGGCACATGGGGTTGCACCAGGCATCGGGGCAACCCAAAGCCCTTGACGACAGCATTCTCTCTCCTCTCCATAATGGACTGCTGATTAATAATGGCTAACAATACCCTCTCTGCTTAGTTCCAACTCTGTTTCCAAGCTTTCAAGATTAGTTTTCAAATTCCCCTTTCAGCTGGTGACCATGCTGGTAGTTCTGCGCTTCTCTGAGCTCCTGTGCTGTTACCTCTGGGGAGCAGCTAACCTTTTACGTTGCCTTTGCTCTCTGTATTTCAGAACACTGACAAAGCCTGATGCTTTTGCCAGAGACCTTTTGGTAATGATAATACACTGTTATCTCTTTATTCTTTAAGCATCTGTGTTTTATCTACAGCCTCATTAGTTCCATGCCTTTGAAAAAACGTTTTTATTCCTATACTGCAGTGACACAAGGCCTTTATGTGTCAACATCTCACTTGCATCTTTGCAGCTCTACAGTAGCATTAAGAAATATATAGGAAACTGAGAAATACATAGAAAGCAACTTATTTTCTTTTGGTGGGTAATAGCATATAGTATCTCATTAGTACCTCTTGCTCCCCACCTTCCTCACTGAATCAGTTCTACATGCTTCATAAGCATCAGCAGTATGAACACAAAATTATCCTTATCAAAGGAAAAACTGTCAGACAAGGGGATAGTTGTAAAAGGGTGACTCAAGTTTCCACAGAGCCCCAAAGCCAATTTGGACAGAAATCAGACCCTGCAGAAACCAAACCACCAAACTGTTCTCACCCTCAGGAACGCATTTCACCTTGGCACATCCACCTGTTCCCAATGCTGTGCTTATCCTCCAGGCTTTTTTCACACAGAGAATGGAGGGTTGTTTTAATCAGAGGACAGACTCAAAAGCCCAGATATAGCCAGACTGTACAGACAGGCTTAGTTTTTTCATGGGAGAGAGCAACAGCTCCCCACTTCCCTTAAAATTTCTACCAGTCTCAAATATGACTGTGTATTAAATCCACGAGAATTCAGGAAGATGCCTGTAGAAGACACATGAAATATACTTAGGGTACTATAGTAATTTATTGTTTTGAGAATTTATGTTTTTGTAAACTTCATATTCATTCCGATGAACGAGGATGGTTTGAAGAGACTAGGTCTGATAAAACACTGAAATAATGCCCTGTGCTTCAATAATGACACTTTGCTTCATTATATAACTGAAGTAATGTAATTTCTCATACTCCATAGTATCCTAGTCCACAAATAACTTTACTTAATGAACTTCAAAGTTAAGGTATTTAATTTCCCTTCCGCCAGATTTTAAGTTAAAATATTTTCAAGATGAGATCTATGTGTTTCAGCCAATGCACAAAATACACCCATGACCTTTCCTAAAATAACCATAACAAAAGAAAAGCTAAAAGAAAACAATTCTTTTAAATCTGAAATGATGATTTGTCTCCTAGATAAAACAAGTGAGTAGGATCATTTCAAAGTTCAAGTAAGAAGTATAAGGAATGATTTAGTTACACTCTGCCCTTTTCCTCACTGAAAACTCAGCAGGCTGCAAAAAGGTCAAGGAGGGCCAGCTCTCCGTGCGACTACATGAAAAGGATAGAGTCCTGCAGCAGGTTTGAGAAGTAGTCTGGTGTATCAGAAGCTATCACAATTTATAGAAATACATCTCAGTAAACACTAGGTGAGGACTCTAGGTCCTGCCTGGGATACGACAGAGGAAGAGCTCTCCCTGTTTTCCCTGTTGTACAGACAAGAATTTGGCTCTTCATTCCAGGCAGCTACTGGAATGAAATTAAATGCAAATGTTAACTCACAGAGGAAAAAACTGGAGAGTGAGGAAGATATAAAGCAAGAATCATAGCAACAAACAGTGCAAGGCTTAGTGTAAAATATCTATATACAAGTTAATCATTTTGTATATTTTCATATACTAATAAGAACATTCAACATAAGAAACAAGTGCAATAAGAAATGGCAAATAAACCAAATTACAAGCAATCTAAAATGGGAATACTAATAGTTATAATTCTGCAAAGGCAGACCAGATGTCTTCACATATATTAAACTGTTTATTCCAATGACTGGAAATCCTTTCATAAGCCAGCCAGTTCCCCAAGATTACAATAAAGGCTTGATATATATTCAGTGGAGTTGTACACTTCAGCTTCTGAAGGGAGGAGTTTTAGGGAGCTTGAGGCTACTTGAAGCAAAAAATATAGCAACTAACAAGAACATATTCCCTTTTGAGCCCAAAACAGCAGTGTACTTTGCAGGTTCTATTCACTCTAAAGTCTTGATTTTCCCATCTGCTATGCTATTGCAATACAGAAATGATGAGGCTTATCGGTTTCTTGCAATTTCAGAACAACTCTTT